TATCCTACATTAATAGGCCTAACCCTTTTAAGCATACACTTTTATGAATCAATGTAGAATATCGAAAACAGCACATTTTCTCATTCTTCCACACTCTCTCTTTGGTTTTTGTTTATTTATTCTAAATAATTTTCAATTAAAGGGGCTCTCTCATTACCTGAATATCTATGTGTACAACACAGTACACGGTGTAAATTAAGGAGCAACCTGTTTGTTGTCCTAGAATTATAAAGGACTATTGACGTATAGACATGTTATTAAGATTTGATATTTAACTGTTTTTTTTCAATGCAGTTTAATCTGAATAAAACAATAAAAACAGATTACAGATAATACTGATCTAAATCTGATCAATGCACACCACCGACTACCTCAAAGCTTAACACTTTTAACAATATACAATATTCTCTGAAATTACATCACTGCGGATATATTATATTTTGTATAATATATACATATCAACACACCACTATAAATTAGCCCAAAGGCAATAAATTATATTAACAGATAATATGTATCACTAATTATATTCGCACATTAAACCTAGCCTTGATATGGTAATCTTTAAGATTATTTCACAGATTTCCCGAACTTTATTTCTAACAAAAATATATCTCATTAAAATATCTGACGAATGAGCAAAGAACACGTAAACATTAAGACGATTTACCCCACCCACTCAGGCACCACATTTTGTTGGGTAGTGTTTTTATCTTGGTTTGATAGATTTTGTGTGAGATCAAACCAATCGTGTGTCTTAAGCCCGGCTCACACTGCACCATGTGATTCGATATGGAACGCAACGCGACGAGAGGCGCGCGCAAGGGAAAGTATGCAAGGACAAATCGCTCATTCTGCCTCGATAACCAGCAGACGGCGTTGCATCTTCAAGCAAGCATGGAGAGCGGATTGATTCGTCAGCTGACGGTCGTATGACCCGTCGTACGACGCAGTGTGTGCCAGGGTTTACAATGTTGATTTGAAGTCGGATTACCGACGTCTGATCAAACGGCAAACATTGTCTGCTGGGTCTCAGAAATTGTATAGGCCTATTGTACCCTAGATTAAAAATCCGGGCTTGAAAATGGATCATTATGGTATTGGTAATTAGATGATAATTAGTTATTTGCATGCAGACCTGACATGTGATAACGGATCAATTGTAAAATTCAAGGTAGAGGAATTACATAAAAGAAATATAATTTTCAAGTCATATCCTATAGTACGGACGTGAACGGCCCCGGTGATTTAGCGTATGCCACTCATTCTGGTTTAAGATATCACGAATGATCTCTTTCAACTCTTCGTCATCTTCCCATAGTTCATTTTCTGGCAGTTCCACCGTCTCGTCCAAAGACTCCTCTGAGTCGAGGTTGACGGGATATCGACTCATGTATGAGAATTCATCAAATGATTCACTGTCGTCGACTGTGATGTACGACGAGTCGATATTCTCCAGTTCATCATAAAACAGATGGTTCTTGATGTCGTCTGATTTGATTTTAGCGTCTGAAGCTGGTAAATCATCCGGAATTTCTTTCTTAGTTAAGGCGTTGTCATCATTGGTTTCTCCAGCGTCTGCTACTTCTGTTGAATCTTTATCGACATTCTTGCAGGTGGATTTTGCCTTTGCTTCATCGATGTAAGGAGCCTCCCTGGTGCCGTGCAAAACCAAAGTCCATGCTATGAGTGTTCCATGTTGGATTGGATTGCCGTTCATCGATATTTCCAGTGTCCACTCACCTATAGGATCTTCTCCCCACGTGTGAGTCGTCATGAAAGGCCAGCTCTGAAAGCCGACAATATTGTCATCGTCACGTGGTCTAGTGCTAAGAAGCATGCTCTTCGTTCCCATTGGTGAGATCAGATTAATGACGACGTCTCCTCGGCGAGAAGAGTTTAATGTTATTATAGCCTGGACGTGTTCCAAATAGTTAATGGCGTTCTCCTGATCTTTGCAGCCGTCGGTCGTAAGTGACAGAACTAGAGGGCCGTCACGTATATTTGGGATTTCACTGTTAGGGAAAAAAAATAAATAATAGTTATCAAGTGTTCCCAGTTATTCGATATTCCTTCATAAGTATAAACAGAGTAAATGCAATTTACCAATAAAACTATCTAACACTAATTGACGGTGTGCTGGTAGGCACCATTGTTATTTCATAATTTCAAAATGGTATTAATTTTTGAAAACGATTCGCTTCCGCTTGTTCGCAAAGGCCAGATCATTAAATATTTAGGTTAATGCAAACAACACAGATTTGGTGACATTTAAGCTGGCTTTAAAGAGAAGTGCAACAATTGGAAATTAAATCTAAACACAATTTCATTCTAAACTCGTTTACCTTTTGTAACTTAATTCATTTGAATCTATGAAACACGCTACTTTAAATGATCGTGCCAATAATACAATACATTGCAGATCTTACCTTTTCCCGTTGTATGAAGCGCCGGTGCAGTGAAATCGTTCAGGCACCGTTTTCCATGTTTCCGCCATTTTGACCATCTTCCCGGCATCAAGGACTCCGAAGCCAAAAAGATGATTGAACTGAAGTCCCACGCCATTACATTGCCACTGGTACACTTCATCGTACAGTTGCTTTCGGTCAGATGACAACACAGTCAAATGTTGTAAGTCACGCCATGTCAAGTTTCGACTATTAACAACGAGAGATTTAAATTGGTATCGGTAATATAAATTACATTTTATTAAAAAAAAAATAGAAAAAAAGCAACTAATCTGTGCTTTTTAAGATTATGATGGGGTGCATTTATTTTCTTTAAAAAATGGCTAAGATTTAAAGTACGCTCACTTACACGCGCGCACACACCCGCCCGCCCCACGGATAATAGTCATTCCACTTTTAGGACAGGTGTTTCCTGGTCTTATGCAGGTTTGCTCTTTAATTAGAAAAGTAACTATCAAATAGATAAAGAATAGTTTATCTTGTCTATCTGGGAACCTGCAGAAATGTGGTCTTTGAATGGAGGCGGTTTCTAATATGAGGGTTCTTTAATTAGATGGAGACCTGAATGATGGCAAATAACAATGAGGAGAGACCAATCAAACTGTGTGTTTATCATTTGACATTTACATCGGATTTAGTTTTAAGAACCACTCATTTTAGACTTACTTTGCTGACAATGCAAGAGCGAAGACACCCGCTGCTTCAGGCGCTGCGGCTGATGTTCCAGAGTGAGACAATGTGCAGTTTCCATACAGATCAGTTGTTGCCTACAATATGTATAATAATAATCATAATTCATAACTATATGAATATATAATTGAAAATCAAATTATTTAGTGTACTAAATATAATTTGAATTTGTAAGCATTTCAAAATAATTCAATTCAATATATATTATATATATATAAGTTAACAGCTCTAATCTGATAATATTTTATATAATATTATATACTATATCCAATGTATATACAAACAATACAATACAATGTCAACATAATAGTAATAGAAAGTGACAACAGATTATTTTATGTTTGCGTCATCTGAGAACACATATAATGATTTGAATATTTTTTTTTTTAAATATTGCAATATGTCACAAAAAATATTTAATAATTATTATCAATTGTCAGCTATGTGCATTTTGTACGTACCACGCCTGCCTCAGGGTGCCTATTGCGTCCGTTGCTGAAAGTAGAGGCCAATGTTGAGGAACATGATTCATCGTAGAGGGCAGTCCGACCATCGTTTATAGCCGAATTGATAGAGATCGTCCACATACTAGAAGCGTATCCGTCACAATTGCAATCGTCGTCCGGTCCTCCGTCACCGGACGCCCACACAAAGATGCTGCCCTTTCCATCGCGCCCCTATTTTTAATTATAGTAAGGTTCAAGATTATATTTTAATTGTTCTTAATGATCGACATTAATGTAGGGGTGGCGACAAGATTTGCCCGACGAGTGGTCCGAGGTCACCGATTGGGGGGGGGGGGCGAAGTCCAAAACGAGAGCAAAGTGGGCGTGGTCGGACGTAACTCAATATAATTAGAAAATGGTTAATAAGCAATTAGTATAGTACTTTGACGAATGCCTATCAAATATGCATTGCAAGTTCTTCAAATACAATCAAATATTTACTCATCGTATCTGGTCCGTAGTGATGTGAACATCGCTAGCGCTGTGTGTTATGGCTTGTTGGGGGAAAAAATCAGCATCCAGCATACACACCGTTGCTTAATATTAGATATATTAGGCCTAGTAATTACAAATATTGAATTTTAAATCCTAAAGTATGTGAGATATTACATTGTACCAAAGAGTATTAGTGCAAGAGGACCGACTCTCGTGGTTTTGTTGAAACGTAATCCAATTTCAAAAAGTACTGCCACGAAGGGACGTGTCCTTAAAAAACCAGTTCGAGCGAACTCTATTTGAATTCAAATAGAGCGTCCCCTACCTCGTGGCAGTACTTTTTAGCGTTCCATTGTGGGCATACAAAATCAGGCAGTCGGACCTCTTGCATTACTCTGTGATTGTAATCTTACTTTGTTGACGCCGTCAGCAATGGCGTCTAGAGTCAAGTCTCGGGGACCGTCGACGGTTCTTCCGTCATCTTGTGGACCCCAACTAGCACTATATATGTCAATCATCTGTGGCTTGAAACTCATTGATGATGCTTCGATTAAATCAGTCATATACGGTTGATCCAACATACGAATACCTATGAAACGAAATGTTACGATTTTCATGTGAAGAAACGAAACAGTAATGAAATATTATGAAAATACTCTCCTCGACAAGTAATTAGTTTTATAAGATTAGCAGGCAAACATATTATATTATATAAGAACATAGCGACTACAACATAACCGAGCTATTACAACAACAACACCGACGGCGGCAAGGACAGTGATGTTAAAATTATTTTTAACTCAGACCATTCTGGTTCTGATGTCTTCAATGACAATTTTAACACAACAATAATCCTACCTGCAACCTTTGATTTGTATGCCACACCGACACCGCATATGCCGTTATCTGCAACCGCCGAGACCTCTCCTGCACAACGGGTTCCATGGCTACAGTGCGGGTAATAAAATAAGATCAACAAAGTAAATATATATTAAACAAGACATCACTTTGTGTTTTTCTGTTGACCATTACTAATCGTTACAATTAAAATAAAACGTTAGTTTAGACATATCATATGATATTCATTTGGAAAAAAATTCTGGAGAACATAATGAAAAGATGAAAATAAAGAAGATAATTTATAAAATATTTTTAAAAAGCTGATGCATATTGATCGAGACTATCTACAGCCATCAACAACCACTACTAAAAGTGTCATGGAAAAAATCGGTTACATTATGTAAGAATAATATTGCGATTTGGATAAGAATTTCCTGACAGTGTTACATTTTAAAAACTTCCAAATGACATGTCCAAAAATACACTTGGGAGCTAATGATCTTAGAAAGAAAAATGTTGGCTAACTCTATGTAGTCATTAATTTAGTAATGGGTAAATCAAGCATAATAACTGCGGCAAGCGCAGAAATGTTCACGTCTTCCTTAATCTCCTTATAGTTGTAGAAATCACGATCATTACTCTTCCATTAAATTGGCTTTTTTTATACTGTACAACAAATTGTACAACTGTCTACAAAATACATTCACTCCTAACCTTATACAGCATTTTGATACAAACCCGACTAATCATTTTGTTAATGCTAAAATAATTGATACGTGAAAAGAAATTCTTAAAATCTGTCTGCATCGCAGATCTTTATTTGATCTTTATTTGCTAAAGCTCCTTAAAGTTCTCCCAGTGCCAGAGGACAGTTATCAGGGTTAGTTCTGCTTCCGTTATTTGGATGACAAAAGCCTCCAGAGTAGTAGGCCTTAATCGGATATTATCTGTTCTTCAAAACTAAGATTTCTTATTGAAAACGGTCTCCAGTTTCTAATTTTAACAGGAGCCCATGGGTTTATATGAGGAAGCTAAGTTCACGAGGGACAATCAGCTGTGTGCACCGGTCGCGATTTAATCTTCCTGCGGTAGACAGACACACACACGCACTATCTCTAATGTATTAACTTCTGAAATATAAGAAATGACAACAGCACTTTTAAGACTAACTGTAAAATTTTTAATTTATTGGCTCACAGTATTCTGATGAAGTCCACTGTGTCGACGAAAGATAGAACCAATAAATTTTAAATTTTACTGCTAGTCTTAAACGTGCTGTTGTCATTTCTTATATTATTCTGTAGCAGACTAACACGACTAAACCGTTTTGTTCTTCCAACTTTAGAAACGAAATTTGTTAAAACGTTTACCTATTGAACCAGTCGTTAGTGTAACGGGGATATGGGAATGGATCATCGTTACTAAAATCGTAACTAGCCTCTGCGTTATAGTTGGGTGCAATGTCTGGATGGAGGTAGTCGATACCTGATAAGTGAAGAAAATACCACACGTGTTAAAAGCAAAGATATGAAGGTAATGGTCTCGCAGCGTCTTTGTGCTTAATTTCTTATGGGCGTGTTCCACGACTACCTATCCACCGTAATATACGGTAAACAGGCGCGTATAGTGACTTCATGTTCACAACATTCCACAACGACAGGGGCTGAAATATATGTAACCGTACTAGACTATTAAAATTAGCAACATATAAAGTAGTATGGATAATGTGTACATTTTAAATTGATATCATCTGGCTGTTTCAATATGTTTCAGATAAAAGATTTAGAAAAAAAATAGAAAAAAAAACCCTTCAAAAACTTGATTTATTTCAATTATACTTATTTCAAAAGAATCATGTGAAACATTGCAATGATTACGAGAATCTTAAAAATTTGCTGAAAGTAAATGTAACGGTTGGTCGATAGGAAAGAACTATAGGAATGTCATTATTAAAACGTCCATTAATTGGCGACGATTTTTTCGCGTTTTTAAAGTTGAAAGCTAATATAACTTATTGCAATATGCAAATTAAGCTTGAATGCATAACGATCTATACTGGCGTCTAATATCAACTTCGTCAATAAGATTGCAACAAATTATCTGCTCCAAGGTAAGTCGGAGACTTATAGTATCTTAATTCAACACCATTTAAACACGTTATAGGATTGCCAATTAGTTTCCGTACTCTTGGGCAAAACAGCATAAACATAGATTCCTTATGAACAATGTCATTTTCATGAGCATATTTGACTTACATCCACAAGTGACTGCAAACCTGAAAAATGGGCGCTAACAGCACCATATCATCAGCATAGCTGAGACCATTTAATTCTAAAAGCGACCAGTGATTCACCCTGTCGACCTGGCGTTTAAAAAAAATATGCATAGGCCCTATGCCTAAAATACAGGATTCGGTAGAATGACCCGGCTTAAAGCAAATTGCCGGTCATCCGAGAACAGAGCATCACCCGACAAATCAATCTGAAGGTTTATTGTGAAATTAATCAATCAATCAATCAATCAATCAATTATTATTATTATTATTAATGCTTTATTATTATTATTAGTGCTTTATTATTATTATTATTATTATTATTATTATTATTATTATTATTATTGCATACCATCGTCCATGATGGCTATAGTTATGCCTTCTCCAAAATGGCCGCGATCCCATGCCTCCAGCACGTTTAGATCCAGACCTGGTTTGCCATCAGCTTGACCGTCATTTAGCTGTAATAAATTGAAATGTGAATATCTCTTAAACGTCTGTACCTCTCATACTTACTCGTACGCATATTCACGTATCTAACACACATTTGAAATAACAGCCCTTTAGAGACATAATTTATGTTAGTTGAATATAGTATTTTGTTACCTGCACAAACCTAATAAAATATTTTGAAACGATTATAAAAAAAAATAAAACAATAGGCCTATATATAATGTCAATTACACCTAAAAATGGATTCAACTATATCGAATGCAAAATATTTGTTAAATAACTGAAAAAATATATAACCATGTATTTATTTATTCATTAGCTTGTGTATTAATAATACTAGGCAGGGCTATTGTTAAAACAGTCCTAAACGAATTTATGGTTTTTATTGGATGTTATTGTCTTAATCCAATCCATACGCATCGAATCAGAATTAGGAATTCGTTTAAGACTGGTGTAAAAAAAGCCGCTGTCTTATTAATATAATGATGATGATAACACTAACAACATACAATAATAATAATAATAATAATAATAATAATAATAATAATAATAATAATAATAATAATAATAACAATAATACTATACTGTAATAATAATAATTCTATACCGTAATAATAATAATAATAATAACAATAATAATAATAATAATAATAATAATAATAATAATAATAATAATAATAATAATAATAATAATTCATTAGTCGTTCATTCATTTACTTATTGCTTTCTTTATTTATCCTTTAAAAATTATGAGTTCTACACACACCCACCACATCCATCCACCACCCACCAATCCACCCCCTTCTTCCCTACCGGTACCTTCCTCCATCTATCTATCCATCCATTCACTCCGCCACACTCTGGCCAATCCCTTTTAATATATGGGATGTTTATTGTTCACTTCTAAAAATGTATCGTCTTTAAAGCCATTTACGCAGTAACACAATAAAAATAGTCTTTTTTAAATTTACAGAAAAAATAATGCCTTATATCGTTTAATAAATTATGAGTTATACATGTAAATCCAATCAAGATGTTTAGCAATTCAGTGCACATATTACTATAAACATGCCATTAATGCCGTTAATGGCTAAACTCCACTTGAGCAAAGCTAGGCAGTGGGCCGACATGAAATTGATTCTTAGCTTGGGAAAATGAATACTGTAGGTTTTATGCGAGGAGGATTGTTTAAGAAGGACAAACATATACATTATCGATTTTTTGCTTATATGATTTACAATGGTTTCTGTTGAACCTCTCAAGCTATGTCATTTAACTTAAATGACATTTAAAATTTAACCTGGTTATACACACATGAATCTCTCTCTTTTATATACATGTATATGCTTTTATATATATATATATAATAAAACACGTAATAGTAATATATATAATATATATATGATAAAACAAGTGTAATATATATAATATATATAATAGATATAATATATGATATATATATATATGATAAAACACGTAAGTGTCATATATATATATATATATATGTATGTATAGGCCTATATATACATATATATAGACATACATACATAGGCGTATATATATACATATAATACATATATTCTATAATAATATAATCTATAAATGAATTCATTTCATTATTCCTCTCTATTAAACAGGCTTAGAAACAAATTATGTTATGATCGTATCGAGTATAACCTTTCAAAGTAAACTTTTTATCAGTAAAAGTCGTTGGTTCGAGTACTAATGGAGGTTAAGTTCATACTTTGTCAAATTTCTCAGTATTACAGTAGGGCCTATGCTAGTTAACTATAATGAAACAAATAAGATGTTATTCAAACTTACAAGAAACCACTGTTTTTTAAACAGGGGATCATTAAATGGTAGTTCCGATTTTGGCGTTGGTATAACGCTTTTGGAAGATTGCCTTTCAAATTTGTTATCTAGGAAGTCGACAAATCCTCGCTTCGTTCGCTTGAATCCAGTCAGCTGAACAACACTTTTGACCTATGAATGGCAAAAAAAAATGGGAAAATATACCAAACAAACAATATCAAGGTTAGCAATGAAATGCAATGAGTTGCTAAAATCATATCATATAATATCGCCCCCTAGAATCAATAATACCAATAAACTACATCCTTCATAGCTTTCTGTTAGTAATGTCAATAGTAAGCCTGGTTTACATAAAATCGCTTATCTTGATTTAATATATTTGAAACAAATTGTCGAGTTTACCCTCTTCCGCACAGATATACCACTGAATCGTCGTTGTTTGAAGCCGTATAAAAGTGTAAAATCATAATTATGTATTTTTATTTGTTCAATCTCTTTGATTACGTTACCTAGATTGGATATGATGCTGTCACTTACCATCGGATGGCTCTCAAGTGGCTCGCTGACGTCAGCACTTCTTCTTACCCGGTTGATTGGAACATCATTATGAGTGAAGTGATATACATTTCTTTTATTCAAAACCTACAGACAAAGAAGAAAATACCAGTTTTCTTTCGATTTTGTCAAACAATTTACATTGTGTAATTGTAATAATTTATGCATTCTGTCATGTAATATTTACTAAATGCAAAGATAATAATGTTTCAATAATATTAATGTTCTATTATCATTGCATTTATTTATTAATTTTAATTAATTGTATTTATTTATTGTTTATTTCCAGTGACATTCATTATCATCATCATCGTCAGCAGAGGCAATCAATCAGTCAATCAATCTATCAATCTATATTTCACATCTTTGTTTCATTACAAGGAACACAATATATATATATATATATATAGGAAGTATATATATATGTATATAGGCCTATATATAGTTAAAACAGTAAAGAAAAATGAATATATGAATCAAATATAAAAAAAGTTAATTCATTTACTTTCTTATGTATAAATAAAATATAAGAAAGTGAATATATTACAATAATAATGGTAATAATAATAATAATAATAATAATAATAATAATAATAATTATAATAATAATAATAATAATAATAATAATAATAATAATAATAATAATAATAATAATAATAATAATAATAATAATAATGTGTACTCTATTAGTGTATTTAAATATCGCATCGTACAATACATTTCAAATTGTTACGTATCTTTCTGAATGATAATGATGTTAGGTGTATGTAATTCTGAATAGACTGTAGTTGTTTCAAAATTGACATTTTATAATGATCCCAAGAGAAATATTCAATCCCTTAATATACGAAAGACTGCTAATTCAGAATCAATAATTAGCCCGGAATAATCGCATCTATGTATCATCGCTGACGTGCAAAGCCAAGCTACAAAACTGACGAAAGTCTTCTTCTTGACGGCATTTGCATATTACGAGAATGGACAACACACTATGAAGGCTGCATATTATTTTCAGAAAGCAGTTCACGGTTTGCTTCACATCCAATCACGGGAATAAACAGCTCAGGATGATATATTTTTGCATCTTGCTTGAGCATACATTTAGGTTCATTCTATCAGCGCACAAATATTATAAGCGAACACATTTGTTGTAGAGTCAGCAGTACGTAGGCAATCTAACGAGTATTACTGTATTATAAACAAGAGAAGATACTGCATAGTCGCAATCACTCAATGTTTGTTGTCAATTTAATCATGGTGGCTGACGTCACATTCTTAACAAATGTTTCATAGTCTCATTGACTATAAATATACAATATTATTCTGCATCTGCTATAGTCTCAACATTCCTTGTTGCGTCGCAGTTTGAGTAAGCCGAGTAGGATTGTTCATTATTCTTCTCTATATTTCTCTAATTTGGAAGGCAATATTCTTTTACTGTGTTATATTGTTATAGTTTACTGAATTACAGTATCTCCTGAGGGTGGATTTTATAATAGACTCTGAAATAATCTCCCAACTGAACCTAGGGACATTTCTGATCCCAATGTTTTCAAATGTGTACTCAAGTCTCGCTTCTTTTGACTAGTATTTCCAATTGGTTTTGTTTTTTTTTGTTTTTTTAGTGTTTTTGACTGTTGTACGTGTTGTGTTGTTCTTTTGTTAATTGTTTAAAAATATAGTTGTGGCACTTGTGATTTCCAATAGTAATACTGTAAATTAGGCCATTTCTATTAAGGAACCTCTTTTATTGGACCACCATTTGGTCGCCAGGCTGAAACACTACTTTTTTACTATTGTGTCCTAACTCTTTTAAGGTACCGCCTCTATAATATGAGTGGTCCAATATGTACTTTATTGTCTATTAGGTAAATACTTTTTAAAAATCTCAAAATATGTATACAAACTATACATTAGCATTATTTGCACTATGTAGGCATATATTAGCAGTAGTTTTAACTATTACAGTTCAGTGGGAATATTGAATGAAATATCAAGCTTTGATATGACCTATGTATGTTACACAACAAGGCAGTCGAATATTCATCAAACATAATACAATTACAGAGTGCAACATCTCCGATATAATATTAAACTAGGATTTTCTCAGTTAAAGGTATCAAGGAGCTTTGATACTATTTTCAATTATAATGAAATAACAACTAGGCCTATATAATTATATATATAATATAATACTAACCTATTATATAAATCATTTATGATTATATATATATATATATATATATATATATATATATATATAATGTTTTAATTGTTAAACGGTTTATTAAAAAAATCAGTCTGCCTTAAAGTTGGTGTTTAGTTAAAAACCTTTCAGCCATTGGGTTGATCAACGTTCAACTTACAGAGCTTGTTTCGATCATTATTATTCCAATTAGTTTTATTGATCAACGTATGTACACATTCCTTGAGTAAAAAGGGACAACAATATAAGGTGCAATTCTTGAAATGTTTCAAATTCATGATTTTCAATAAGATCACACCACTTCTTTTATCTTGTGACCGACAGTGACCGCTTCCTCTTCATATACGTCAAATGCTGCCGATACGTTTATAGTCTGCCACCACTTTTTTTCTGAAACCACTGTTTTACATCTCTTTTTTTAAAATGTATTTCCCTCACATCCAACAGCAAGTACATTCGCCACTTACAGGATGAGAATGATGCTTTCCTAAGCCTCTTTATGAGGCTTAGGAAAAGTGGCGGCGCCAGCGGGGGGACAGCAGGGGCTTAAACCCCCACCGGACAGGTCAAGCCCCCCCCCCCACACCACCGGACAGAGCTCGTCGGGCAGTCGGACTAAAAAGAATATAAAAATAGGCCCATGCCAAGTCAACACATGCATGTCACAGCCTGAGAATGTCATTTCTGGCCATCCAGAGGTTCCTCTCCTTTTGAAAATCTCATTTGGGAGGGGGAACACCCTCTAAAACCCTTCCTTCAGCTTGGGCCTACGAGCTCAAGTCCCCCTGTCGGATAGCTCAGCCCCCCCCCCCCCCCCCCCAAACAAACCCCACCAC